TATTAACTAATGAAGCTCTTGATTATTTAGCAAATTCTCCTTGTCAACACCTTGTAAAATATATTGAGAACAGTATAGAGAATATTCATGCTGTTGTTGGCATGTAAAGGCTTAAGAGTGATTGTCAGTAAAAATCAAAGAAATCGTGGCCACGGTCAAAAAATCGATTTCGCTCATACTTTGTCAGTTTGAAGGCCTAGGTAAGTAACTGAAGGATATGAGGTTAGTTTTTTGAAATATTCCATATAACGGCAGAAAACCACGAAAAACGGTCACCCTACCGGAAGCTCGGATTTCACCTGGCGGAAACTCGAAATTTTACACTTTTCAGCTTCTCGCTACACAGACGTTTACATAGCTGTGAATCTCTCTTAATTGAATACATTGATTCTTCCTTAGTCAAACCATGGGAATTATTTTATCTCTGCTCATTTGTGAGCGAACTGAGACCCGATTAAGAAGACACACTTTTCTCATTTACGCGAAGGTGTAAAATAATCCAAACTCAGCGACGAAAAAAGCTGACCGGTAGTTCTTCAAATCCTCTGATATTATAACCAAAGACAGCTCAGTCATTGATTTTTAGGTCTACGGTTTTAAATCTTTAGGATCTAGTAGCACTTTTGCATGAACGCCGATCAAAATTCGATAAAATTCCAATTGAGCGCCTTTGAAATCTACAACTCTACATAACAACGCACTATTGAATAAATTAACTCCTCGGCCAAAGTTTGTACATAAAACATGAGGGTTTTACTTTCTTAGCGGTTTGAACCTTTTAAAAATATATATTGATGTTAAATATTGTCTACACAAGTAAAACAAACTATGAAACACCAAAATTACCACGAGCTGAAATTAAATCTCACAGGCTCGCTCCCTAATCTGTGTCACGCACGAGCGACTTCGCTACAATTAGTACAGTAACAAAAAGATATTTACATCTGTTAATTTACAATAAGTCTTATTTTAAAATATCTTACTCAACGATGTGCCAGGTTCCCCAGTTAACTTGCTGAAGTAAAAATAAAAGAAAATATCATAATAGCAATTCAAACTGAAACGATAAGAATTGATTTTATTAAGAATGAGAAGCTTTATGCCGTCGATAGCCAATCAGAAGTACCTGTTCTCACGAAAATTGCATCGTTCTTTAAATAAATAAATCAAATCATCTTAATCTGTGAAACATTGCATCTAAAACCAGAGTTTATTGTCGGGGAACTTCATAGAACAGCGATGTCTTGCTCGTTCTTGAATATTGTTGGTGGGATTTGCGGCACAGACGAACGCACAAGTTCTTCAACTTCCGTCACGCCTCTCACGCGGTGTAACAGGGATATCAAAATTCACAAAAAGTCGTTGAAATTTTCCGGAATTGAAACGGAGGTAGAATTAATTTTTGGCGAGATGTGGATGTTTTCAAAAGCCGACGAATTTATCGGATATGACTATCGGTCCGGTTCATCGTGCCAAGTTAGGTTTAGGTTGGCGAAGGACGGGTAATCTTTGCACCATCCCGGAAGTTGTTTCTGGTCACTGCAAGGAGCTGAGAAGGCACCCGCACTGGAAAAAGGAATAAATTTATTCCAATCCATGAAGATATTTGAGCTTTCAAAACAGCTCGTCCCTGTGGGCTCAGGTAAGCAACCAACTACTTGATGTTCTACCAAACAGAAACTGTCTCCAATGAATTATTTATTATGGCCATATTGGAGTGATGCAACGACCGTAATTGTGCTATTAAACGTAAACATATAAATGTTGATGTGACGTTTCCACTAGTATACTGTGCAAACTGTGCACTTTGTGGGTGGTTGGGGAGAGAGAGTAGTATGGTTGTTAAATCCTTTCCCCCCACCCCCTTCCCTCCTTTTTAAATGTCGTAAAAAATGACAGTGCACATTATTTATTCTTCGGTGCCCTCTTTGGAAAATTCTTAGTATTTTTCATCGAATATTGTCAAAATTAAACTTTATTTTCTCTATCAATGACAGACTGTAGTGTTGTTTGACAAGCGCAATCAATAAAACATGCAAGTCGTAAAACTCATAGTGTTTTTAATAGTCGCATTGGACAACAGAATGAAGAGGATACAAAACTCATTGGAGACAGTTCCTGCTTGGTAGTACATTTTTTAGTTGTTATTTACCTGAGCCCATAGGGACGAGCTATTTTGAAAGGTCAAATATCTTCATGGATTGGAAAAAATATATTCCTATTCCAGTGCGGCTACTTTTCACAGCTCTTGCTGAGTGACCCGAAACAACTTCCTGTATGGTGCAAAAATTAATACTTTTGAACATGATGTATTACTCAGTAAGTGACACAGGCATAATCGGAAAAAAAATCCGAGTGCTTCATGGGACAAACATCCTGCATACTGCTAGGATTGGAATGTCATGTGTGGCATACGCGCAATGGAATAAATGTGATGGAATATTTTTAAGCCTGGTGAATAAATGAGAATGATGTATTACTCAGTAAGTGACACAGGTGTACTCGGAAAAAAAGAAATCCGAGTGCTCTCGGCCATCAGGAGTCGAAACTATCGACATAGTGTCAGGTTATGCCTAAGTGACACGATGAAACGGTACGGGTAGTCATCTCCAATAAACTCGTTGGCTTTTAAAAACACGCAATCTTGCTAAAATCAATTCTGGTTCAAGTCCGGAGAGTTTTTTAGGACTTCGTGCGATGTTTTATATCCTTGTTACACAGCGTGAGCAGTGTGACGAAAGCTGAGTAAGGGTAGAAATTAGCCATTGGAAGTTACTTAGCAAGTGCGTTCGTCTGCGCCGCAAATCCCACCGACAATATTCAAGAACGAGCAAGACGTCGTTGTTATGTATGTCTATTAACTTCGCCAACAACATACTCTGGTTATATGGTTAAGTAGATTTGTTTATTTAGAGAACGATGCAATATTTGCTTTTCGTGGAAACAGTTACTTCCGATTGGTTTTCGACGGCACAAAACTTCTCCTACTAAATAAAATCAATTATTAGTGAGCTAGAATTACTATTAAGGTTTTCTTTTTTTTCAGCAAGTTAACTGGGAAACCTGGCACATCTTTGAGTAAGATATTTTAAAAATACGACTTATTTAAAATCAACGGATGTAAATATCTGTTTGTTACTGTGCTAATTGTAGCTAAGTCGCTCGTGCGTGACGCAGATTAGGGAGCGAGCCTGTGAGATTTAATTTCGGCTCGTGGTAATTTTGGCGTTTCATAGTTTGTTTTACCTGTGTAGACAATATTTAACATTAATATATATTTTTAAAACGCTTCAAACCGCTAAAAAAGCAAAACCCTTATGTTTTATGTACAAACTTTGGCCGAGGAGTTAATTTATTCAATAGTGCTTTGTTATGTAGTGTTGTAGATTTCAAAGGCGCTCAATTGGAATTTTATCGAATTTTGATCGGCGTTCATGCAAAAGTGCTACTAGATCCTAAAGATTTAAAACCGTAGACCTAAAAATCAACGACTGAACTGTCTTTGGTTATAATATCAGAGGATTTGAAGAACTACCGGTCAGCTTTTTTCGTCGCTGAGTTTGGATTATTTTACACCTTCGCGTAAATGAGAAAAGTGTGTCTTCTTAATCGGGTCTCAGTTCGCTCACAAATGAGCAGAGATAAAAATAATTCCCATGGTTTGACTAAGGAAGAATCAATGTATTCAATTATACTTAAGAAAGATTCACAGCTATGTAAACGTCTGTGTAGCGAGAAGCTGAAAAGTGTAAAATTTCGAGTTTCCGCTAGGTGAAATCCGAGCTTCCGGTAGGGTGACCGTTTTTCGTGGTTTTCTGCCGTTATATGGAATATTTCAAAAAACTAACCTCATATCCTTCAGTTACTTACCTAGGCCTTCAAACTGACAAAGTATGAGCGCAATCGATTTTTGACCGTGGCCACGTTTTTTGAATTTTCCTTGATTTTTACTGACATTTACTCTTAAGTGGCCAAACCTTTAAGTACAAAATTCCATAAATTCATTAGAGCAGAAACCCTGCCTCTAAAATGCAAGTTAGTAAAAAAATAATGGGTTAATAAAGTTTTAAATGTAATATATCAGTGCATACCAAGTGATATCAGTGACAACAGTACTTTTGCATTTGGACAGGTTTAACCTCTCTGACAAACATAGCTAATTTAAAAAATTTTGCACCAATTTAAATATATTTTTCTTTTGAAGTAGGTATATTACTCACATTACTGGTACACAGAATTTGTTGAGAGCCTAGTTATCATTCTCATAACAAGTATGCCTTATTGTGCACCAACTTGGCCAAGAAAAATAACTTTAAATTCAAATATTTTGGGAGATTTAAACTGTTGATTAAAAAATAATTCAACTACCCCTCCCCAGCCAATGCACCTTCAAGGCGCTAAATTAGAATTTCCTCAGTACCTGCAGTGCTTAATCCTCTACTTCGTAAAGCTTCCTTTAAACTAGGTACTGTCATCAAAGTTGGCTCGATAGCTACCTTTCTTACCTCAGTGGCATTGCAGAACTTTAAATGAGACGATAATGATAGGTTATCAGCAAAGCGAGTATCGCACTGTTTACAGACAACATGTTTTAGTGTACACAACACTGATTCTGTCAGACCTCTGCTGCTTGCACAAGTCACAAGGTTAATACCAGACAAACAAACTTGACAACTGAGCAAATCGTTTTCTTTATTTCTACCACAATTAAAAACATTTGATTGGTAACAGTGTGGTGGAGAACGTGATTGGTAGTGTGAGGTATAAGAAGAGGGCATTGGTTGATGTTCTGGGAGGTAAAATGAGCGAACATAATTACTTCGCCTTACTTGCCACCATTTACCAGTGGTAGTACTTACATTTGACCGGTTAGTTAAGGTCAAATCTTCCTTCACTCCAGAATGTTTGGCCTCTTTAGCCTGCAAAGAGACAATGCCATAGCCCACCCCATACCTTGTAAACAGCAAATTTGCATGATAGGGAATGGCATATCCAATTGTTCATGTTGTGACATTAACACTGGATGAAAAAAACAAAGACATCAGGTTAAAATACATACTACACATTTCTTTTAGTTCTGCAACCTGAGCAGAATTGGTCTCTATTCTATTAAAAAGCCCCCCAGCATTCCTCAGATACTCACCTATCTTGCTAAGAGCTAGTCGTTGGATTGTTTGTGCCTCAGTTTCATCTTCACTTTCTAAAGTGTCAACTAAACGGTAGTAATATCGAGCTAATGCAATAGCTTGATTGCCAATAAGCCTAACTGGTAACTTGTTATACCTGTTAGTTTCATCACTAAAATGTTCTTTTACTCTTGAAGCCAAGTATCCCAGTCCACACCCCCCCTCACCTGTTGCATGCCTTACATGAGGAAAACCTGTCTTCTGCAGGTATTGTTTTAGGCCCTCCTCTGATTTCTGCAACATTTCCTGCTTTCTAGCACGCTCCCCAACACTGTCTATATCAGAAACCCTCAAAAGAGTCTTTTGGGGTTGTCCCTCCTTAACATCTCCATCTCTATTCCCTATAGGTGCTGCCAGGGCAGAAACAAAAGGATCAAACTTTCCTCTTCTTACTGCCTCTAAATATAGGAGATCAATATAATGCTGTCAGGCATTGATCTCACAGTGCATGGGTTCTGGCCTTAACTTGTCTGCAAAATGCCCAATCCTTGGGAGACCTAACTGTCGGATGCCATTTTCAGCCATAAACTGCAACTTTCTGGAATGTTTATTTTTTTCTGAAAGGTTTGGGGGAAGAGAGGCGATAAAATTGTTTACCTTCTCAGTATTGGAGGTTCTCATTTCCATAGTGTAAGGCTTCCAGGTGTCATCTTTACCTTCTCCAATACTACCCCCCATAGTGTTCATGTTTCCTTTATGAACATTTGCATATGGGGAAGGATATGTCGCTGCCTGGTTGAGTTCATTGGCAGTCCAGCTCTGCTAGGACATGTCTGCTCCTGACTGAAATTCAACAGTGCACTCCTTATCACAAACAGTCAAAACATTACCTTCCAACATTTTCATCTCTTCAGTGTGCTGCTTCCAGAGGTCATGCATTATTTGATCTTTCTCTTTTACACTTACACAGAGGAGGAGGTACTGGAAGTCCCTACTTCGTACCTGATCTCCAAAGTTCCAGCACACCATACTTCCTATTGACATTGTCAGCTCATTTGTTTCAGGAGCTCCATCATCTGAGAACTGAAAAATAAAATGATTTTCATTTCATTGAACCAGACAAGTTAACGAGAAAGATGGGGAACTCTCAAGTGCAAATCCATAATCATAAACACCAGGCCAGTGACTATGCGAGAAACACCTGATACCCCTGGGATCTGTGTGACATGACCAATGTCTAAACTTTTAACAAACTTGTCAACATTGTCATCTGAGAAGCTGAGCTTGGGTAACCTTAAGTCAACTCCAAGACATTTAATGTTACGTGGCAGCCAGACTTCTTTTCAGCATTAAAAAATGAACTCTGTGTTTTACAGACAAGATTATACTTTCTTCTAGACAAATAACTCTGATATTTAAGTGCCACAGACTGTTTCAGTACTTCTTCTGACTTCTGAAAATCATTAATGGCTCTCTCAAAAATACCCTGAAGAAATCGGCCCCTCTTATAACTACTCATTAATTTGGTCATGGTTTCATTACTTGCATTGGCAGCCAAAAAATCCCATGCCCCATACAATGAAGCTTCAAAACCCCCATGAATAAATTCTAAAATGTTTTTAGTTTCTTCCCTTCTCCTATATCTAGTGCTCGACTTATAATCATTAATAATTTCATATGATGTGCTAGCAGCACTCCTTCGTCTTCGGGAATAATCCTTCTGCTCCAACAGCTTTTTCACTTTCTCATATGCCTCCTTTAGTTCTCTCAGTATCTCCTCTGTTTCACTTATTTCTTTGTCTAGTGTCTCTTTCTCTCCTTTTGATTTTTACAGTGCTCTTTCTATAAACAAGGATAGGGAATCATCGTCAAAATAATGACAATTCCAAAACGGCAAATAAATGAATAAATAATAATCAATTCCGCTTATCTTGCCGCAACTAACCCACTTACAAGTAGGAAACTAACCTGATTCCTCCACTAGAGCATTTGTCTCCCTTTGTAAAGCCAAGATATCTTGCTCCTTCTTGGATAAAGCATCTTCTTGGACTTGAAGATAGCGAAAGTTGTCTTGGAGCGTTTGGCGCTCCTTATGAATGTTAAAAATGGGCGATGCTTCCCAGAAACGATTTACTTGTCGTTTCAAATCACGTTTGCCCACATGGCCTTCCCTTTGCTGCATTTTCGGCTTTTTCCGCAACATTTACGGTCTCCTTCAGGGCTACAGATAAAATAAAACACTCGACATTGAGCCTGAGGAAATTCAAGAAAAAGAAAACGGCGAAAACGACGCCATTTACACCAAAGTCCACTTTCAACTTTCGATTTATGGCACGCTCGGTAACTAAACGGTCAAAGTTATTCTTTTTAGGGAGGAGGACAGGTATTTTGGGTGTATTTTCTTCGTTTTTGTTCTGCGTTTGTCTTAACAGTGGAGCCCCCTAAGTAAAAAATTGTTCTCTCAGTCCCAGGACTCTAGAAATACAGAAATCACAACGGTTGTGTTGACGTATTGGCTTCTGTAAACCCGTTGCTAGCCGGTAGCGTACCTATCTTAGACGAGCCGTTTCGTGGAGAAGTCAGTCGAAAAACCTTATTTTTTTTTTCTTCTGCCATAAGTGAAAGGCCATAGTCATTCAATATGAAAAATAAAGGTTGGTAAGCTTTATCCAATGTAAAATAAACGACTGAAAAAAGCCCTTTAGCTTGACGCCTTAAATCAGCTCAAGCCGTGAACGCGTCGTCACGTGACCTCTAAGATAGCAACGGGAGGAATTTACATAGCAATCGACCATCGTGGTTGGACAAGATCAAAGAGCCAATGCCTGTTTCTGGGCAAATGGTAGGCTGCTTTATCATCCAAATTTTGATGTCCGGTAGACTCGAGAAAAAGAAAAAAACAGGAAGAGGTGCGTAGGCGCTGAATATGAATTTGTGGGATAATCATAATCATAAGTGTCGAGCACTGTAAATATATATATATATATATATAAAGTGTAAAATCTTGACTTTCGTAAAACAGTGCTCAATACATAAGAGTAGTGCCACAGGGCACGTGCGTAAACACCATTCACACGTCTGACCAAAGTTATATTTCTTCAGTTTTTAGAACTTAATTGAACAATCATGATTCCTTTAATGGCCTGCCTTCCGCTGTCGATCAGAGTGAACAATATTTTGCTTTGCCGACTGAGGAAAAGAAAACAGGGATATGACCTAGACGAGAAGAATCCGAAAATGATTGAAGCTACTTCAGTAAAACACCAAGAAAAGGACGAAATGGAGCCACGGGTGGAAAGAACTTTACTATGCAGACGATCGGCAGGCGTCACAGACGTGTGAGATGTTTAAGCTGTTGAACAAAAGGTGCAGTTAATGGAGCGAAAATGCCTCGATGTGGGCGATTCAGCTGTAGCTGGCGATGATATGATCAGATGTTGTCCAGTTAACTAAGAAGAGATGAGTTTCCGCCAATCAGTGCTTGGCAGCTGCCAGGCAGTAGAAAAGGCCAAAATAGAATCGGCTGATGTGCTCATCTGTCCAGATTAGTAATTGTGTTCGTTGGTATTTCACATCTACGTTATGTTCTTGTCTGGCTGTCACTCGTTAACTAACCAGGTTAGAAACCATGAAAATTGTAGGACAATTTTCTTCTTGTCTTGATGGGTGTTTTTTTATTTGTCTTAACATTGCATGCGAAGGCCACCCTTCGCTAGCTCTCTTGTGAACTCTTGATTGTAATCTTCTGTGATAGTTTTATCGCCAATTACTAGAGGTAAGGTTCCAATAACAGCTTTTGACACAAAAACTTCTGGGAGTACTTCGGGAACCATTAACCTCTACCATTAAATCTTGGCCCGAAATGGTGGTGTCTAACTTCTTCTTAAGATATTTAGGATCCGGTAACTTTCAGCGATTATTATATATACATATATATAACAGATATTCTCTAATTATGATGGTATAAACAGTTTTTATTTAATAAAGAATGTTTTGAAGAAAGGCATTTTAATGACATGTAAAAAGCCCTAAGCATTTACCAAACAGAAATAAAGTCGAGAGAAAATTTTAGTCTGGCTGTAATACAGAATTAAATTGTTCTCTCAACACACTTTCACTTCATTTACGTGTTGATATGATTATCATTACTCTGGTAAAGATACTTTTTAGGATGTTATTTTGCTGAAGATTATTTCTGTCTTGTGTCGCGTGTCACACTCTGCCCCTTACACTCTCTGTGACCCTGATTTATGGTTAAATGTTTATTCGAAAGTCATTACCTTTCAAAAGGTCCATCTTTTATTTAACAAATAAAGAAGCCTCGACTGTGTTCTATTCTGTTGTAAAGCACGCTGGAAGCGGCTAGAGCACGGAAGAAGAGTAGCCTGCCTGCGAGCGAAGAAAGCACTCGTGCGGTAGCACTGATAAGGAGGACCTGTTTTAAGCTAGATCAGATGCGTGCTTAGATTTTTTCTGAGTTAATGCAATCCACGTTAATCTAGTCTATTTACGCGATAGCAATGATTTTTCTTGGCCACTTCAGCACTGTAAGTATTACAGGATGCACCGTTTTATTCTATGCTACGATTTGCAGTACTTATTGTGAGGAAAACTTTCCTCCACAAAGGAAAAAAATTGATTCTAAATTTTTGAGTCTATGTGCTTATTTGAGATCTCGTGGTTATCTTCCTACTATCAATTACATAAAATGAGGTGTTTGCTTCAGCGTCAGCAGGGTATCATCAAGCTTCTCCATCGTTGAACTCTGTGATATTTGTATATGTCCTCTGAATAAATTAGTCACAAAAAAATACGAATAAGGATAGAAATAACGGTTGTACCGTATAAGAATTAAATCTAAGAAAGAATGAACTTACGAATAAGCAGATGAAGGAACGAATGGAAGTTAAGGTCACATCGATAGACGGAAAGCAAGTGGATGGATGAGTATGTGTACGAATGGATGGGTCGATAGCTGCAGTTGGAGATAAAAGGTTTATCAGAAGGACTGACAGAGTGACAGAGGGATCCATGGAAGGGTAAAGGGAAGCATAATGAATAAATGGAAGGAGGAAGAAGAGGGCAGATATAATTTTGAGAAAAGCGAAAGGAAGGAAGAAATGGAAAGCTTCTAAATACAATCATTAATTACCTTCACTTCTCGCAAAAAATTCTTCAGCTGCTGGGCGATCTGCGAAAAGGCTGGTCTCATCAAAGGATTTTCTTTCCAACAAGAACTCATGAGCTCATATCTAAAAATTCAATACAGTATTAGCTAACATTGTCTTGCAACTGATACCCTCAGCATTTAAATGGACCATACCAAGCGTAGAAAGGGGTGCAAAGAGGGGATTTTGAACTCATGACAATGATCATTGGAAAGATCACATATTAGCCGAATGTGACATTTGATTTGATGTATAAATTGTTCTTAAATCATCACGACTGATTCACTTAGCTTAATGCATCGTTTTGATTTTCAACGAGAAATATTGAGTGTCAACGGATCTTGCGAGACTTTGCTCGAAAGGTAAAACGATTTTCAATTATTTTTAGAAAAATCCGGCAGGTAAACGTCCATTTTTTAAAGCCTTCTTGATATTCAATGATTCAACTGAATTTTACTAGCATTATTTAGGACTTTATAGCTTACAGTTCTTCCGAACATCGATCGGGACGAGGCATCCGGTATCCCGAAGCAAGTCGAGTTACTAAGGCAATTGGTGATGTGATGTCAGGGTACGGCAACTCACCTGTTTGGCGGAAATAAGATATGATTTAACGATTTCAATTTTTAAAGAATATCATTTAAGACAATAAGTATTTCAGCAATAACTTTGTGAATAAATAGAGACTTGCAAAGACTTTATGTGGATGATTTAGGTAGATAAATTAGTGATAAATAAGATATAGCACGTATAAAATGTTTGACACGAGCACAACCTACACCTGGAAGCGGTCTTCTCATCTTGTTTAGTTTCGTCTGACTGGCAATGGTCATTTCCAAAATGAAAATGCTTGTGTCTATATATTTAGCTTTACAGAAGAGCCTTGCTAACTTTGGGCTGCTTTACGGATTGGAGCCTCATGACGAGAATATGATTTGTAGTTCATAAGATGTCGTTTAAGTCGTACATAGTAACACATCACACTTACCACAAGTGGTGATTTCCCATAGAACGATACCAAAAGACCACCTGCAAATAAGCATCAAGGCCTTAGCCCAAAACAGAATTTCTCCTTACAATATCAATACAATATCAAGCAGGCAAGTGATGTGATTTAAAAAAAGACGGTTTAATTTTTAAAAAAAATTACCAATAAAAAGATTATTAGTTGAGCCCATACCAAATTCTCCGAATAAAAGCTAAAGAATTGTATGGCAGACAGTAAGGAGAATTAACAATGAGATCTTGGGAGTGAAAGGGTTAATAACTTCAGTGAGTAAAGAATTCGAACGACTAGCGCTGAATTGATTAAAGATCGAGTCTCGTTGTATTCTTTTAGTGTTTAATGGATATTTACATCACTCAAAACTTCGTTGAGTCTTTCCTCTTATGTGGACCTTGCCTCTGGTATTAATTTCAATCAGGCAATATGTGCATATGATGCTCGATTTGAAGGAAGGAATTTCTTAAGTCACACTAAGTTCCCATGGTGTGTCTATAAATGCAAATAGGTATAGATACACCATGCATGTACATGTACATGAAGACAAACAAAAAACGTAAAAGAAAGCCCAGATGTAACCATGACAATGCTCCAAGGGATATAATCGAGCGCACGGCAGAAGTTTTTTTTTTTTCGGAAATCCTTTCAACTAGGCAATACTTTCGACTCGAAGTCAAGAGACAGAAAACTGACAAAGACAATATGAAACTTACACATCACTCATGGATGTAAAATGCAGATCTCGTAGAGATTCTAACGACGACCATCTCCACGGAACCTTGCCCTGTTGAAAAGATAGATTCATGTGAGCAAGTTACTGTTTGTAGTGCAGGCAATGCCCTTTGAAACTGTGAAGCGGATGACTTATGAAACGGAAGGATGCATTCATTATAGTAAGCGAGTTCTTTTTCGACGTTAAGATATATAATGGTTTGTAATTATAACTGATTTCCAGTAAAAAACCAGAGTAATAGTTAGCGTGCCCATTATTTTTATTGTTATTAACATTATCCTAGGTTCAGACACTATCCCATAATTAATAATGGTAAAAGACCGAATGGAGTCCAATTCGGTCTGTAATTATACGAGTGATTAACAAATCAGAGGGCCACGAAGCGGGAGTCCGATTTGTTTGTCACGAAACTCCCCAGTTTTTTTGGGTAAAATGGTTGTTTCTATAGTTAATGTAATCAATTCTGTGTTCGGTGGATTTGGCTGGGTAGGATTGGCTGCTTAAACTGTCCGATTACAGGTGTCCAATTACAGCTAACTGTCCGATTACAAATCTACGGAAAAAATTTGTGAAATATAAAGCGCCTTGTGCATCAATCACATTTGAAGAAATTGTAATTGTTATGATTAATTAAGTAAACGTGTCACATAATACACAGTTCATGGAGAGTTTCAATGTAAATTATATCGTTAGAATAAATTCATTTATTCTGCTCGATTGTACCAAGGAAGAGTATCAATTTAAATGCATTTCAGTTTCTTTCATTTTTCTGTTTGTTGTTGATTTTGATTGCAAAGCGTACTTACGCTGGAGGTTATGGTGTATATACCAGCAGCGGATATGTCCCTGGCTAATCCAAAGTCTCCAACTTTAGCCACCAAGTTGGCATCAACTAAAATATTCCTCGCTGCTAAGTCGCGATGGACAAACTGTGAGAGAAGACAATGTATAATTTTTTTTGCTTAGAGACGCTCAAGGATGGAGTGGCCTATACGAAAGTGCGAAAGATCCTCAAGGTGTCCTGAAGACAATTTACAAACTGGGATTGCCTGCGTTATAAATATTTGCTTAACAGAGGCTCACGAATGATTGGATGGCCTAAACCAAAATGCCCGAGATCGCCAATATGTCTTTAAGCCACTTCAAAACCTCGAACTGCCCGCGTTATATTTAGTGCAGCAAGAGATTATCAACTGTCTCTAATCTCTTGAGAACAGTCATCTCTAATGGAAGGTTGGAAAATTTACCTCTACACCTCTACACACTGCCAGCCGGTCTTACCTTTCTCTCCTCTAAGTGCTGCATTCCCATGGCGATCTGAAATGCAATTGTGACCAGTTGCCGGTCATTCAGCTTACAGCAGACATTATGATAATTGCTCCTTTCCCCTGGCGCCCTTAAAAGATTTTCCAGACTGCCACCATGAATCAATTCGGTGACCACAAGAACGTTTCCTTGAGAGAGTAGAGCAAACACATTAGAGTTGACAAGAGAAAGAAATTAGACATTATTGGCACCTTGGGTTGATCAAAAGATGATTCGTCGGTAATTTAGGTTTAGTTGGTGCCCAAAAAAAAACAGGAAAAAAATTTCATATGAACTTCCCTGAAATTAGCCCAGAAAAAAATGTTTTCCGATCAAGAAGCACAGATTTTAACATGACACGTATTAAGTGTACTCATCTGTCTTTAATCATAAGGTCAGTACATGCACTGTTCTAACTGATCTTACACACGGCTAGAACGTTACCATGTTACTGTCAATCACCAAGTAAACACGCATATTTCTAAGACGGGATTGCATCGTCGAAAACTGACTTACCTTCCTCTATCCTTGTGCCAATCAAAGTGACAATATTAGGGTGTTTCCCAGCTTTCTTTAAGGTCCTTATCTCATTAAGCAGGGTTTCTTTGGCAATGGCACTAGGGTCTACAATGACGTAGAGAAAAAAAAACAAGGGCATTTCTTAAATTGCTTCATTTTACGTAGTTCGCTCATCGTATCTGGCTATGGTAACAAAATTACGTATGGAAAAAACTGGCTTGGTTAAGGCTACAGAAAGCGTTCAGAGGAGGCAATAGCAGACTTTATGGGTGTTTTCCACCAAAAGGAAAATGATGAAAAAAATCAAGATGGTGCATAGCTTCGAAAAAGAAAAAATCAGTTTAGAGGTATACCACTGTACTCAGGAATTAACAAATAGACATTTCGATTTCGTGTACCTACCTTTTAGCTTCTTCACAGCTACATCTGTTATGTTTCCGTCTTTCCCACCATAGCGACCTTTGTAGACGATTCCAAACTCGCCTTCTCCGAGTATTTCATCAAACACTTCAAGATTGTCCAAGTTTTCAGATTCTTCCTCGGTCCCTTGAGATATCTCTCCACAATCCCGCTGTTCGTCGACACCTAAGTGTTTATCAGCTGTGGAAATGTGACCACCAGCAATCCCCTCACCCGACTCTAATCTCTCTTGACCTCTTTCTTTTATTCCTTGCACCGAATCATCCTGCTCGCTTCCGTCTGGAGGCAGTCTGTCCCCTACTCCATCCCCCACTAACGGGAGCCTTTCCTCGGGAGTTTCGATGGTTTGGCTATTGGGCGACCGATTGTTTTCAAGGTCCTGTATCCCATTTCTCAACTGTTGGCCTTTTTTCAGATACACCTTTATTGCACGTTTTCGTCTCTGTCATATGATTTAAGAGAATAGGCAATTGTGATATCTATCCAAGATTTATCATCATCATCACTTGTTTGAGTCCCCTTCATAATCATGAATTTAAACTGGACGAACTGAAGTCTCTCGCACTGTGATTTACTTGTCGTATGCGATTTAAATAGCGTTTGTTTGATAAAAAAGCAAACAAATTTAACTGAAATAGACGCACCATCTTTCACAACGATAATCCTCAAATGTGATAATTCTAAGGTATGTAAGTAAGGAATATAGCTTTTTTTCAGATTGAACTGCTTCATAAACCCCCTAAATATGGGTCGCGCAAGCTTTTGCTTGTTTCTGCATGAGGTATTTACAGACCCAAAGTTGAGGAAAGGACAATTTGGAGTAGACCAAGTAGGGACAGAAATGGGCATTTTCCAAAGCCTTGACTCATTTTAAAGGCCGAATTTTGCCAAATAAAGCCAAACTGACGGAAATCACCATGAAGGGGAAAACAGCTCATAATAATAATACTAACGATAATAATGATAATAATCAGTTGAATTTGGGAAGTTTTTCTCGACTCTGCATCTTAACCCCTGAGAAAACTGCGTGGTTCTTGGCTGGTCAATCCCAGTATTCGTCTAGACGCCAGCACAAGCAAAGTCGCATGACGGACAGAGGAGATCATTACTCTGTGTGGGGATGTAACGTAACGCATTATTTACCTCCTTATCACGATTTCTACGCCGATTCCACACAAACCCAGTGACTACACAAATAACTACAGCTGCCAAAGTGCATGATACAGCGACTATAGTTGTCTGAGATGCTGAATTTTCTGGCTCTCTTTTCACGTGGGTGAGAGTAGGAGTTGCTGTGGATAAATTATAAAAAATACGTTGTTCTTAAGAACAGCACTTGTAGTCAAGGACCCCTCTCACCCTATTTTTTTCCCTTCCATTTAAAAAAAACCTAACCTTTGTTCAAGACAGCTACTCCTGATTGGCTTCTTCCAATGCTATTATTTGCAATGCATTGATATTTTCCATAGTCTTCCATCTGTACTCTCGATATAAAAAGCTGGCTGCGATTGGTTGGCCCGTCTGGAACGACACGTGCTCTGAGATTAGACTGTAAAGGGTATGAAGAATTGTCCTTTATCCAGCGGATTGTTGGCCTTGGGAGACCCCTAACAGTGCAGCTTAAGGTAGCATTGGAACCGATCAGGACACTTTGGTTCTTTGGACCCTCAACGATCTCAGGTTTCTGGTCATCTAGCAAATTGAAACAAAATTAAGTAATATGAATGAATGGGACGTTATGAATTGTCTCATTTGTGATCTTTCTTTGGGGTGTCGGGGCCCAAGGCTTTTTTGCCGCTCGAATGACCCGGTTTGAAGAGAATTGAACTTAAAGGGGAGTCTTGATGATAAGAAGACTGAGGAGGTACAGTGACCAGGTGAAACTGAAATGACAACTTAAAAAATTTGTATAAACATTTCACAGACAACTGCTCATTTTCTAGCTCTTGATACTCTGGTGACACTCCGAGAGTTTTTACAATCTACGGAAATGTACACCAAGAGGCAATCATCCAAAAGCCGAGCTTTTCTCGCTTACTTGGTGTTGGGGAAATTTCAACTGGGAGACTGAGTTGAAGTGATAGGGAGGACAAACATACACTAATGCATATTCATGTCTAACCTGAATCTTTCGAGGTTAAGAAAGCTGGCAGCGACAAATTTTTACCAGCACTGTTTTTGGCCTCACATTGATATTTGCCAAAATCTTCTTTCTTCGCTCCTGTAATAAACAGCCGGCTTTGCATGGTTTTGTGGTTTTTTGATGAACTTGAATTGTTATAACTTGAACTGAATGTCACCCTTGAGTTGGTTTGTAAGGCAGATGAATCACTGTTTTTGATCCATGAGATGCTTGGCTTAAGAAGACCCGTGGCGGTGCAGTTGAAAGTTACATTGGCCCCTATATCAATGCTTTGGTTCCGAGGAACTTCTACTAACTCTGGCGCAAGACCTGTAGGGAAAAAATACATTGCAATAAATATCCCCTTTTATTACTGAGATAATCTGGTATGAAGTTAATTTCATAAGCAAATGACGGCAGAACGAGAGGATATTTTCACTATCATACTTTTATGCCACACAAGAAGATGAACTGCTTGTACAGGTACCCAGTAGGAACTATTTTAGGCCAACTCTCCCTTGCCGGGGTATGAACCTCTTCCCTTTTTCATTTTAATTATCATCATTCCTTTTTTTTTTCACAAAATAATTCTTTTCTCATCTTCCAAGGAATATGTAGGTTTTTTTCTGCTACAGCATCACCGGCACCGTATTTAGCGACCACCCTGTATTAAGCAGTCGGTTGCATTAGTGTTTGTCGGTTGCCAAAGTCTCCAGTTTGTCTCCCTCTAATCACCATAATTTTACCGGTAATACACGGTTACCTCTACTTAGCGGTCGTAGTCAACCTTTACAAAGTCCCAACGGCCTCTTTGTATTGCCCTCCACCTGTTTTTAATAGCCACTTATAGCCCAACCACTCGAATAAAAATAAGTATGATCTTTCAAATAATTTTTTTTTATTTATGCTTCTCTCCCAAAATCGAAGTTAATAGTATCTTTGATCGAGATTCTGTACATAAAGTGGTCAATTTTAACAGTGGCGTTAGTGGCGTTGTGTTTGTTTCAATTTTGTTTTTGTTTTTTTGGTTTTTATCATTTTTTTTTAATAATACTCCTTATCCGTGGAGCCTGTATTAAAAGGTCAACCTAAATTAAGCGGTCACCACCGTTCCCGGTGAATTGCCGCTTAATACAGGTTCCACTGTACCAAGTAATATGATATGCATTAGGACAGGTCAATCGAATTGCTCCTGATTCAAATTTAATCGTTATCAGCGTGAAGAATTTCGTTCTTTGAACAGTGCATTTCGGGCCTTGTTAGCCAATGACCGCAGCGGAATTTTCCTTTTGCAATGAATTATGAATTGGACTTGCCTGTCCATACATTCCAGGGGTTTCTTAGAAGCTGATTATTCGAGGCCCCTTATTCCTGAATTAAACATCATCGGCATCTACCTTCGCATTAAGAAACAAATGATGTCTACTTTCATATATTTAAAACTGGATCATTGGATAATGCAATTCAAGAGTTTTCATTGGATTAGCCATTATGGGCTATGGGTCATTTTACCATGTGCAAGCATGAAGACGAATCAAACCGGAAGTGTTTTGGTACATTGTAACGTTCCGTTTGTTCATGCAAAATAAAGTTGGGAAGATTTTTGTATATATGTTTTGAGGCGTCTTCTATAAAACAATTATTCTATTCGCGTTTGTTGGATACGAGATGATTATAGCCAATTCGGCCCTATAAGCCTCGTTGGCCATCTATCATCGCATATCCAACAAGCACGATTGGAATAATTGTTTACTAAGGGTATGATAAGCCTGGTTTACTTACCATGAATCACTATTTCAAATGATTTCCTTGTGCAGTGTTTGTTGTAACCGTTGCCGGCTTGGCAGTTGTAGCGGCCAAATTTGTCAACTGTCAGATTTTTAAGCACTAATGGGCAGCTTAAAAGTTTTTTTCCTTTTTTTGAAGGCTGCTCGCACTTAGCTACAACTTTGTTATCCTGTGGATCGTACCACTCGATATACTTGACAAATCTGTCCCGATATAATGTGTCTTGTCCTCTGGGCTCCGCTGTACAATTCAGGGTAATGGAGGCACCAATGGGTAATGTGCTATTTTCTGGACTTGAAGAGATGTCCACAACAGGTCTGACTGGGTTGGAGAGATTGAATAATGATAAAAGAAAATGAATAATGCACAATCTCTTTGTATATGAGAAAGATTATCAATAAATCTATCTTACAAATTTAGCAAGTTTAGTTGACAAACTCTTGACCGATCAAGAGTGTTAAGGCAGCTTTTTAATGTTAATTTTGAATTTTGAATGCAGCTTTTGAATGTTAATTTTTGTTTTTTTATGTTCCACCCGAAGTAGGCCCAAGGTCGAGACGTCGTCTATTTAAACGCTGGATCAGTCAAGAGTTTATCTTCGTCCTTTCTTATCTACACATGCTAAACATTTTGATGAAGATACTTTTGGATCCTCTGACTGAGAGCTGTTTTTTTGGTAGCCATTTTACACTTTCTGCACATACACGCATTCATTTAATGCGCATACAAGAAAAACATAGGCATATACATGCTCTTTGACCAGGACGTTTAAAAGAAGTAAACACTACTTACTCTTAATTTTGGAATCGCATGTTTCACCTCTGACCAATGGGAGATTCCATAAAGGGCTGGTAAGAATTAATAGTGCCAAACACGTTGACGCTTCTCGAAGACAAAAGTTACCCATCATCATGACACGTTGACAAATTTGTTGTTTGGATGTTTGAAGTGGCCTGCAAATGGGATTGTTTATTCAAAATTGAATAAGTTGTTTTCTAGAAGAACGTACGATACTGAGGGCCATAAGTCAAACTTGGTTGTCATTAACTAATTGTATCTTCATTTACCTACTCTACGAATTTGGCGATTTTACACAAAACTTCTGCTAAAATGTATAGGATTTCATTGTTTTCTTTCACTTATCCGCATACTCTCGTTTTAACCCGAATCCATGATTCATAAAAAATTATATTTTTCACCGAATACATGTAGTTTTAATTTTGTCTCTTAACTACTCAGTAACTAAATGGCATCTTTTGTTTTGCTACTTTTTCGAAATTGCTAATAGAGACAAACAAAATCTAAAATGAACAGCACTAAAATTGCTCGTAAATTTACCAAAAAAAAATTAGACCTTACTTTTTCGTTGGCAAGGAAATGCAATCTACTTCAAAAAGAAAATGAATTTTCCGTGTTATAAAGAACTCCTGCGATGAGAAAGCGAAGTTACTATACATCAGTGCTTATCATTAAAAAATGGATTGTTCAGCTTGACAAGAACTTTGTATCAATGTATCGCCGATACATTGATACAAAGGGTGAAACTACTTTTGGGGTTGTGAACTTAAATAAGTAAGGCAGCCTACCAAAGGAAACCATGTACTCTTATAATGAACGAAAATAACGAACAATCACACCAGGATTAATTTGGAAAAAATTCAAAATTTCTTGTAGTTTAACATTTACAGATCTAAAACAGTACTTTCTCAAGAATCCTTCGTAACATTTGATAATTTTACAGCGACATCCTTCTTCGTTTCTTTTCGATTCGAATAATACCATTACTATTGTCATCACAATAATTTATATTTTTGTCATTATCATTATCAGTGTTGTTCTTCTTATTGAGCGTTTTCCTGAACGGGTGTTTCAACTTTCTTTGTATGAAATTTTGTTTCTTTTATGGCTTTTATCTATACATCCAAAGCTTAAGAACGAAATCGCCAAATGTGAGGTCCAAACAGGCGAACGGCAGAATCAAAATTATGCAAGCAGCTTTAATATTTCATATTAACGTTGGATTGATTATATCACGATACGAGCAAAAGTCACGATTGACGAAATTTATGCATCGCGGAGGGAGTTTGTGGAAGATTAACCGCATGTTTATTTATTAACGGACGAATAAGTATTTAACTTGTTTAGTTCAATGAGCTCTACGTGCACTAAAGAAATATAAAAAAGGATTGCAATAATAATATACGATTTGCCTCGTTGAAAAATGTCAGAGGAAATGTTTTTAATGAAGTGTCAAACGTGAGAATATCGGCCAGCACTGAGACCTAAAGATTCACTGTCCATTCATTAGGATCGTGTTGAAGCAGATGCTTACGGAACTTTTAGACCGTGGACGGAAGTTGTATTCCGTAGACGGAAGTTGCATTGTGTACCGTGAACGGAAGCATGCTACTCCTCCCCACTTAGTGAAAGTCAAAAGCACGTAGCGGGTTCATTCAACACACGCCGTGACCACGAGGAAGAGCATCAGAGGCATGCAGCCACACTGGTATGCCGCGCATTTGCGTTCGTCTTCAGTTGGTATAAAGTAATCATTGCTCTATGATTGTGCTTTTCTACGGGAGCTCTTCAACATACAGTCCACACTTGTGATACAAAATGAGCATGAATGAGCTAAAAATGAGATAAGCTAGTGGCCTTTTTATAATCAATCATGGCGGCCAAGATAGTCTCACTAAAATGGTTTTTTCGAGCTCTAATATTTCGGTCTAGGTTTGAGGCTCGCTCGAAAAAAGAACAGCAACACCAATCCGGTCGGTACCAAATGCAGACTGCAGATCGGGTACAAAATGCAGACAAGGTACAAAATGCAGACTGTGGGCTGGGTACAAATTGCAGACTGAGAATTTATACTAATTTTTGTCTGATACGTGATAACATGTCATCTTACAACTTACCGAGGGTCACGCAATTGCTTTTCCGCGATCATCTTTCACAATTATTTGCACTATTGTGGAATATTCCTTGCCCGTTTCTTAATCAAAATCATTCTTAATATCATTTCAAGCTTTCACTTAGTCTTCTCACTTTGCGCGCGAGTTGGTTGGTGTGATGTCTGTACAGATTTTACCGACTTAATGAAAGTAGGTATAGATGTAAATGAGATGTCACTATTGAATATTTAACATGTGTAATATCCAAGAAACAATTGACAGCTTTGCATGTGGTCCGTACGTTTCATCTTTTTAACCGATATGTGTTCATTTTGTTGACAAAAATGCGGACCGAGACCAAAACTGTCCCTTCGACTTGATATATTTTCAACGTTTAGGGTGTACACATTGATTTTCACATATGTGCCTTACATTGTTTTTTGGCTTACATGAGGAACTGGCGAGTTTTTATAGGGAAAGGGTCATCCGCACTGGCGACAAAACTGTTTATTTAGACAAATTTTCCATCATCACCAACACTTTACTAATGTGGATGGTTTGTCGCGGCTTGACAATTTTTTGCCGAAGCGGACAAATTTTCGAACGCTCCGCCGACAAAATTTGTCCCGGGTAAAAGCTTAGCAAAATCTACTAAATTAACAAAACCGTGATGAACTTGTCTATCATATGTCGTAAACGCTACCATTAGAGTGGTAATTGAACTGGGTTCAGTTTACCAAAAGATTGCAATAGTTGTCCTTCGCTGCGAAACTCGCAGATTTTACAACTTTAACTTAAGATGAATCCCGGTAATTGGAGTTTTGATCCATTGGCAAATTATAGCGGCCAGTCGTATGAGCAGATAAGGCGCTCGAATGTGCCACCCTATGAATAACAACAAGGAAACAATTTTCATTCAGCCGGGGCAACCTACATAAAAGTGGAGTAATCTTCCAGTCGCCGCTTCATCAGACTAATAATGAAGTTGTAGATGTGGCCGCCCAAGATCCAGTTGTTATTGGCTTACATAAGGAACCGGCGAATTTTTATGGGGGAAAAAAGCGAAGCGTTGCTTTCGTGACTGGCCATTTGTTTACTTTTCTAATAGTTTTATCTCTCATCTGTTTGGTGAGAACGCAAATATTGATATGTGAACATCAGACTATATGAAGGCTCGAAATTCTATTTAGAACGATTGTGGCCGCTTTGTTAGAAACCAAATGGAATAGCCGCTTTGTTTAACACAAAACATTTCAAGGAATATTTCACAATAGTGCAAATGATCGTGAAAGATGAGGGTAACTGATATTTTGCTGTCTTGAAAGTTCACATAAACCGAATCCAATTGTACCTATATTCAATGAGTCCAATAAGTCAATACAAACTTAAGCCATAACATGAATGAGCTGGTTCCAAGAGCCCTTAGATCCATTCTGTTTTTTCCTTTTTCGATATGTGAATGATGGTGACTAAACATGACATTACGAAATCCGTGGCTGAACATGAGAGACTCCCTATAGTCTGTACTAAGATAAGATATGTCATAACGTAAGGCCCAGTGTGTCCATTTTTTCCTACCTGCGACAACTGTTTGTGAAAAATATCCTATTCTTTACATGTAACGTTAATTATTAGTCACTAGACTAAAAAAGATCATCTCAATGCAAGCGATCAAATGTGCCCTAATGCAGAACAGGTGCATCATGCTTCAACTCAAATTCACACACGTTAATTATCAGTCGCTAGACTAAAAATTTACCCCAGTGCAAGCGGTCGAATGTGCCCTAATGGTTACCTGGCGGAGGACAGAACAGGTACATCATATTTCAGCTCAAATTCACATAGCTGGTAGACTTCCAATGACGTAACAGATAATGAGATCGATCTTCCTGTCCGACCAATGAAGGAAATTTGAATAAACGCGTTTTGCATCAACTCAATATTATATACAAATATTTTCCATGAGCGCTTAATAAAAGTAAAAAATACGAAGATTGCCTCAAATTAAAGTTAGCTCTGTATAAAACTCTTATCATTGTAGATTAAGGAAACAATTATGAATAAACGTTACGTCAAGTTGTCTCAAAACAATTGGGCGATTACACATCACGTATAAATCATGCCTGATAAATATATCTTATAAGACGTTTTGGTGTGTGGTATCGCTGAGTATTTTTACTCGTTGTGCCGTAATTTGAATCGCCCTTCGGGCTCGTCAAAATATCACAGGGTATTTGTACTCTATTCACGCGTTATTTGTACTCTACTTTGTGCTGTGTAATAATAATAATACGTATTATACAAAATAATTTTGTTGTGCAACGATAAATTGTTCTGAAAATCGTTTTTGAAAATAGCTTTTTGGCATGTAGGTCTTCGTCATTGCTATTTACAATATCACGGTCGAAATAAATATTTGATTCATTTCCTTTTTATTATTAAGACATCATTTTATTTGGCAGAAAAATGCAAAAGAAATCATCATTCGAAAGAGAAATTGTGAGAAAAAATGCATAAACTTACCTTATGGTTTCGCCGTGTGTCTTGTTAATATACCAGTTAAAAGATGATAGTGGAATTAATCATAAGCTGTCGTACAACACGAGATCAGATAGGAAGTTATGTGCACTTTACTTAGTCCCAAAATAAACCGTCACTCGA